GACAGCAATAATGAAAAAGATCCTCAAATGTGCTGAAATGGACAAGCTAACGATGGTATCGAAAGACAAAGAAGAAATAGAGTACTATAAGATATGGTGTGTTTGGTATAATTGGTTAGAAAGAAGATACAAAGGCATAAATTGATAGCAAATATGAGAAAGTGTTATTTAATGCTTTGTGTGTGTGTGTGTTATAAGCTGAGAAATAAGTATAAGTAAATAAAATGGAGAAGTAATCGATATAGTTATAGACTTTGTTAATTGGAAATTGGTTTTAAATGTTGGAATGTTGAATAAATAAATAATAATATTTGTAAAAAACCAGTGTGTTGAGAAAGACAGACAGCCAACTGAGAAAAAGGAAGGTGGTACGCTTAGCAGTAGCAACAACATTTAGACTTAGATACCACTTCATGGTGCTTTACATCCCTCTCTCAGCAATTTACAGAGTCAACCTATGGCCCCCAACAACCTCAGCTTTCCTTTTACCCACCTCGGAAGGATGGAAGGCTAAGTCAACTTTGAGCCGGTCAGGATCGAACTGCTGGTAGTGAGCAGAGTCAGCCTGCAATACTGCATTCTAACCACTGCACCACCACGGCTCTTTTAGAAGAGAGCTATTGACATCAGCATCCTACAGGATGTTTGGTGAGATGATGATGATAGCAATAGCAATTAGACTTATATACCTCTTTATAGCGCTCTACATCTCTCTCTAAGCGTTTTTACAGAGTCAGCCTCTATGGTCCCCAACAATCTGGATCCTCATTTTATCCACCTCGGAAGGATGGAAGGCTGAGTCAACCTTGAGCCTGGTGAGAGTTGAACTGCCAAATTTCAGGCAGCGGATAGTTAGAAGTGGCCTGCAGTACAGCACTCTAACCACTGCGCTACCGAGGCTCATTGTTATCCATTCAGTCGAGTTTGACTTGGGTGATTCTATGGACCAGGTCTGTCCACGTCTTCAGATCTTGCATTGTTTCTTTGAATTTTTGTATACTCTGGCAGGTGTCAGTTTTGATGGTGTCCAGCTACCATGTTCTTTGGCAGCCCTGTTTCCTTTTACTGCTAACTCTTCCAAGCATAATAGCTTTTCTCCAGTGGATTCCCCCACATGACAGGGTCAAAGCCAGTAAGACGCAAGTTTGGTGATTTTGCCTTCTAGTGGCATCTCTGAGAGAGGAAGAGACTGGAATTCACAGACTATCATCAAAGAACAATTGATGTTAGGAAGCAAAAACTTCAGAAGTTGCTTGAAATTTACTTAAAATATCTGCTTGGGTTGTGCTGTGTTTTGGGTTCAAAGGCAGCAAAGGTGTTTCGGAGGGGTCCTGTAGGTGGCACTCAGTTCATCCAGTCTTAGAGAGAGATGCATAATAGTTGTTAAGGAATGACAAGAGGATCAGTGGCGGGATTCAAAAAATCATTTTACTACTGGTTCTGTGGGTGTGGCTTGGTGGGCGTGGCAAGGGGAAGGATACTGCAAAATCCCCATTCCCTCCCCACCCCGCTAGCCTGCTTTCCAGCTCCGTTCTCCTGTGCAGGGCAACCAAAGGAGACCCAGCCAATCAGCTGGGACTCGGGAGGCAGAGAATAGATGGGGTTGGGGCCGGTTAGAGGTGGGATTTGCCGGTTCTGCGAACTACTCAAAATTTCCGCTACCAGTTCTCCAGAACTGGTCAGAACCCACTGAATACCACCTCTGAAGAGGATGCTGCAGTTTCAGAGTCAGCTTGTGCGCCCTTACCTACTAGTTTACAGCTTCCAACTCGCAGGTGTGTGTGACCCATACAGATAGTCCTTGTCTTACGTTCATTTAGTGACCAAAGTTACAACAGCAGTGAAAAAAAACGGACTTACAACCATTTTTCACACTTACTACCATTGTAGCCACTCCATGGTCATGTGGTCCAAATTAGGATGCTTGGCAACTAATTGATATTTATGATGGTTGCAGGATCCCAGGGTCACGTGATCCCCTTTTGCAGCCTTCTGACCAGCCAAGTCTGAAGGGAAGCCGGATTCACTTAACCATCTTGTGACTAACTTAACCACAGCAGTGATTCACCATTTTCCCCTGGCACCTTCAGGGCTGCCACAGCCGAGCTGAGTCAAGCTGTAGTGGGGAGGTAGAGATATCTGGGGGCTTGTAGCTTGAATAAAATTATTTTGTCTGGGAACCAAGGACTTTCCCACCAGGTGCTAAGGAGGTGGGATCTGAGACCAACTGACCCCTTGGACTGTCACCTGATTGGACAGTATGATAGGGCAGGGGAAATAAAAATTTACTTTTAACTGGGAGGAAACCCGAGGGGGGTTTAGAGTCTGGTTCCCCCCCAAGATGTGCCAATGTGACACACCTAATAAATGTATACTTTGAGGAACATGCCTGCCTTGGAGTTTTTATTCTGTTGGGCGTGATACTTGGAACCCTGACAAACTATGGCAAGAAAACCCATAAAATGGGCACTTAGCAACTATATCTCCCCTAGCAACTTAAATTTTGGGCTCAATTTTATTTATTTATTTTATTTATTTTATTTATTTGTCAATTGTTTACGAGATAATAAGTAAAAGTGTATACATAATTATGAATACATGAAATGAGTACATATAAGAAAAATGAAAGAAAAATAAAAGAAACAATAGGACAGGGACGGTAGGCACGTTGGTGCGCTTATGCACGCCCCCTACAGACCTCTTAGGAAAGGGGTGAGGTCAATAGTAGACAGTCTAAGGTTAAAGTTTTTGGGGTTTGGGGAAGAAATTGTAGTTGTAAGTTGAGGGCTACCTCCACAAACATCTAGAACGGACAATCCAGCGCATCAAAGGGAAACTAACAGAGGCCCAGCAGCCGCCTTCACCTCAAACCTGGGAGCAGAGCCAGTTTTCACAGGCTGGTGGGACACAGCTGCAGGGTGGGAACTGTAGAGATTTTCCAGAGGGACACTATTCCAGAAGGCAGCCACGGCAACAGAGATGTCTCCGTCGATCATGCTAGACTGGCTGACATTAAGCAATGTTGCGTAACCCAAGTCCCATCTCCCAACTGGGTCTCCGTGCGCCAATGAGCCCTGTTTACGGTCTTTCCTTCCGCTTTGAAAGCAGTTGGCCCTGGACATGTCTGAAGCTGACGAGGTCCTGCTCCGTTCGCGTAAGAGGGGAGGGGACATCATGGTTTATGAATGTGGAAGGTATACACCCTCATCAGTCAGTGGATGCTCTCCATTTGTAATCCTGCCCGCTGCTTTGATGTCTGTGAGATGCTCCTCTGCTCCATGCAGATGGTCAGGGTGCACAACTGCAAATGATGTGGATCACATCACCATTGACTGAATGTTAATTTCCCAAGCCTGCAGTTGCTGCGCGGAGCAAAGGTTTTGGCATCTGCTGAGTGTAGAATTCCTTTCCTGTTAATAGCTGCCAGATCTCTGTGGTCTATTTCGGGAATCGGATTCTGTTCAGTCGGTTTACTCGGTAGAGCCGTCACTTTATTTTAATGGATTTCTATATTTATTCATCCGTTGAGCAGGTGCCAGAAACGTGACAGTCAATTCCCCCATCCCAGAGAGATGTGTGATAATCATTAAACTACATGGGGCTTGCTGTTAAAAAAGAAAGAAAGAACGAATGAAAAGAAATCAGTTCAGTTTGCGCCCCAGAAGAGTGAAAAACTAGACAGGTAAACATAGCATATAGCTAAAGGGCAGACAGCAGGCATCAAATGGTCTTAAAGTGGCCCAAATCAGAAGCTCGTTTGAAGCTGCCCGTGCTGAACAGATGAGAGGCCTGCAACGTTCCCAGATCCTTGAAGGCCTCCGGATATCCTGATGAGGTATTAGAGGAAGTAATTCAGGAAGAAAGAGACAAATAGCCACCTCTGGATCTTGGCTGACCCCATAGAGCCGCTGCAGCAGTGAGAGTACTTAGATCCAAAAAAGTGTTGATAATACCGACCGCTTTCCAGGGAGAGCAATATGGGTTTCTTTTAACCCTTCTCAACAACGGCCAAGTTCCTTTCAGGCTTTCTTCTTTTATCATGGGCTTGCTCAGAGCTCCCTCCAGTGCATTTGCACAAAAAGAAAGAAAGAAAGAAAGAGAGAGAGAGAGAGAGAGAGAGAGAGAGAGAGAAAGAGAAAGAAAGAAAGAAAGAAAGAAAGAAAGAAAGAAAGAAAGAAAGA